GCACATACAAATGTTGATGCCACCTCCTGTCCTTCGCAGGTTGTGTCTTGGGGGCCTGCAGTGTGAACACAATGGAGATAACAGAAAGTAGCAGAATGAGGTTTAAGTTTCTAAGAAAGGATCGTGCCCTAGGAAAGAACAGCTACATATTTAAAGGGGAGTAACTGTCATCAGAAGAATCACCGGTGTTTTACAGGCACTGACATCAAGTTATAGTTAGTTTGATGAGCTGATGGACTATACTACAGCATCGTGGAACAGCCTGAGCGTTTTAGGAAGCTGAGCACTCCACTCCAAATGACTGCATTCCTGTGGGGACTGGGATTGTGAAGCAGAAGAGAACATTACAATTTGATGGATGTAAAATTGCAACAAGACAGATGACTTGTTTATAAACAACACTCATTACAAAATCAGTATGACATGTCTAAAACCTAATCCCTTCTATATTAGTCCTGTTACAGAATACAGCAACCTTAATGGGAAACACCTAATCATTTGGAGCAAATATCTCAAAGCTGCATCACCTCTTATTGAAACTATCATTTTAAAACACTTTTAACACTTTACTAAGGGACATAAATCACCAGGCTCTGAAACAGGAAGTGCAATTATCTGAATATTGTTGCTTCCAATCAGTTAGCAATAAAAATATGTCAAGGCTATTAAAATGATAAACACTATATAATTTCTTTTTTTTTTTCCTCACCAGGGAGCATTAAAAATAGATGACAAAAATGCAAAGCAGCCTTTAGACATTTCAACAAGCCTCACAGTGTTGGTAGCAAGAGCAATGCAAGCACACTTCAGAGATTGACTGTATCTTAAGTGCATTCTTTCAAACAACTTAAAATTACAACCAAATTAATTCTGAGTGCAAGCAGGTACAACTTTGGTTTGTTTGTTTAAATCAGAGTTACTATCACACCATTGTGGGCACTAGCTTGGCACAGCACAGCAACATTTTCCTGCTAAGCTCAGCCATTTGTAGCAGACAGCATTTCCCTGCAATCTCTCCACCCAGTTATCTACAAATGTCAAGCAGATGAGAGCCTCAAGCTTTTGTATCAGCTTAGGTATTCTTTCCTACTCTTCCACTCTGTTTGCCCACAACTTAGATCACATCCTGTGTAACTCAAGAGGGACAAGAGCAAAAACCTTATTGTTCCTTTTTCCCAATTAGCACCTAAGTTGTCTCCCCGGCTTCTTTTTCCACTCCCCTTCAATTTCTTCTGTAGTTTAACAGCTTTCAGCCTTCAAATCTTACTGTCAGGAAGTTACAGACTTGTGCCCGTAATCCCAGATGTATTTCCAACCAATGTTCCCAAGAAGCTTTTGATGGAGGCGGGGGAAAGAGAAGAGGGGAATTAAAAAAAAAATTGCAGAGAAAGACACAAGAGACAACCTCAGGACAGAGTCTCTGTGAACTTTGATTAATACCTGGGGGAAGGTAGGTTGAACCCAAGTCATTGCGTTTGCACAAAGCTTTATCACTTAATCTAGCAAACTTCATGCAGTTTCATACAGCAAAATACTTTAGAGTGTCTGTATGCAGTATCATTTCTGTTTCATTCTTTATGCATATGACACCAGCCTTCTGGAGGGCCTATAACTGGATAACAGATTTTAGTGAAACACAAGGTTGTAGACTTACAATTTTAAGAAGTGATTGTCATGGTCTTCCATCTACGACGCACTCGCCTGCAGATGGTGTCATATGGGTAAGGGAGACGGCTCCTCTCAGGTGTGCAAAATACAGTCTCAAATTGCTCCCTGTTGTTGTACATCCACTTACTGCCAATTTCACCTGCTGAATTCAGCTGGGTGACTAATGGCAAGGCCACTTAGTACTTCCTCTTCCCAAAGGCTGTTATATTTTGGTGTGCATGGTGGTCAGAGTCCATTTAACTGACAAATCCACTTTTAAGTCTTCCTCTCCCAGTGGGATAATTTTCCAGGTCAATGTGTGTATGTATGCAACACTGTCACCTTGGCTTTGACAACAAAGTTTACTAGGCTTTCCACAGTGCATGCACAGTAGGCATTAAAGCATTTGGCTTATCCTTCCTCATCAGCATACTTCACTAAAAGCAGCATCTTTCTCACACATCAGGCTAGTTCAGCTAGTTTTGTGAGGGAAAAGGGTACTGGCAAATTTAACTACTAGTATTTCAGACCACATAGTTCAGCATCCAAATTTCCTTTGGCTCAGCTCTCGTTATGGATTGTTTTGGCAACTAGAGTTAAGAACACAAGATACATTTGTAAGGAAAAAAAAAAAAAATCTAACAAGCGTACCAAATTCCCAGGGAGCAAAGGGAAAGGAAAAAAAGAACACACTTTTTAAATTAATCAGAGATCACATGGGGAAGATATCCAAACCCAAGACCATAATCTTCCCTTCAACTGGTAAGAAATTATCCTGATTATTTCAACTTCTGGTGCATTTGGCACTGTTTAGCAACGTCCTCTTTTAGAGTTTTCTTGCTACCGCTATCATCTTTGAATGAGAATTAAGTAAACATACACTAATGTAAAAATTCGGTCATTTATTAAAGCTACATTCTCTGCTTTCACGCCACGACAGGTAGGCCATTATGGGTGGCTTTTGCCATATGGTTGTAGTTATAAGGTGTGAAGATAAGGTTATAAGGTGTGGAGAACAGCCTGGCTATCCTACTGTAGAACTGGGCAGGATCATTCACTAGACCTTTTTTTCTTTTTAAACTTCAGTTCTGGTGGAGGTAACATGCCATATGAGCTGAAACAATGATCTGCTTTGGGTGCTAATTTTGCTCCCTTCATTCTGTGCTTGAAAAGGAAACACATGAATGACCTCCACAGGCATTTAAAAAAAAAGCTCAAATATGTTTATTTTGGCACAATTTAAAAATATACAAATACATTCAATATCACGGTTCATTAAAGCCAATTTTTTTAAAATATATGTATGATTATTTTGGAGTGAGATGGAAACCAAAACACCACATTGTATATTTAATTTGACAGTGCAAACGAATGAGAAACTGTTTAGACCAGGAGTCCACTGTGTCAGACAGCAGTAAAAAAAAAGCTGAACAGTTCCTGAAACACACACAAAAAAATAGTAAAAATACCTGCTGCATTTAAGAGTTTGCTGGCAGGGGGAAAGAATATGCGAAGAGGAAGAGAGATGTTATCATTGAGGAAAAATTTAACTGCACAGAAGTTAGAGCATTAGACGTTTAACAGTAAACTAAGTTATGATACGCACTTGAGGGTAAGATAGGGTTCAGACAGTACAGTGAAATGAATGATTCTTCAATAATTTATGTGTAGAAAGAATATATTAGCAACTAAGCAATACAAGAATGCACTATCATTGACAGATTTGCAAGCAGAAGTGCCCTGCTTTCAAAGGTGCAGTTTCTTGGCATTATTTGCATAGTTACTCCTTTTCCTTAGCGGTTAGGAAAATATTCAGCAACTAAGTTCAGAAAAAACCTATGACCTCCAGACATAATTTCTACCTGTGGAAAAATCACAGCAGCACAAAGATAAAAAGACATCAAAATGACAGAAACAAAACTGCCACCTCCTGAACTTGGAACATACGAACTATAAAGCACATTTCATACCGAAAGCTGAACGGTCTCAAAATGGCATTGTCTGCTGTCTTTAGTTTTGTCCAGTAGAACAAAAGTTTTATTTATCTTTGCAATAGAAAGACAATCTTAAGTTTCTCCATATAGCAATTCAGGCTTTTTTTTTTTTTTGGCACAAGGGCCTCTTCATGGTTTGTTCTTTATTATCCCCAATCTTTGCCCTAGCTTGTTCGGATGCTACAAGAGATCTCACTACCTTGTAAGGAGAGAGATAAAAGTAAATACAACTGCACTGAAAGTTACATAAAACCAGGTCTATTCAATAAGATATATTTATCTCCTCCCATCCCGGTTCTCATCTTTTAGAAGAGGGAATCTGGATCACAAGGTTTGGACTCTCCATATGGGTGTCGTGTCAGCTCAAGACAGTTATGTTCACATTTTCCTAAAAAAAGAGAACCGACTGTTCCAGTTTACGTTCATGCCAGTGGATGCTCATGAAGATCTTCCAAGTAATGTATTTTCGGAGCACAGACCCATAATGGAGTGCCAGCTAAACCAAAACAGGCAATAGCAACAGGGGTAGGTGGGAATGCACAAGCTGCATAGTTATAATTTCACATACGGTGACAGTGACACTTCAACCAATTTAGCAACCTCAGGTTTTTCACTTATTTCCCAGTCACCCACTCTTATACCCACACCACTGTGCCCATTATGCCGATACATGTGTTCACATGGCAAGAGAGTGAACCATGCCAGGAAAAAAATTGCTGAAGGATAACTTAGACAAAAAAAAAAATTTACAGCTATTTTAATTTCCTGATCCAGTGACTACCAGCCACACAGCTGGCATAAGATGGGCAAGAACAAGCATCTGAGAGTGGGGGCAATTTAGGCTGGCAGTTTCAACAAGGAAATACTTGTTGAGCTCTGTCATAAGGTGCTGGCCTGCAGATGTCAGGCATGTTAATGAAGGGCTTAACCAAAGAAACCCCTTATTGCATTGGCAGACATTTAGCTGCCCTCTCCAGTTCATCTCAGTACCCACTGACACGTCTAATGGATGCACAGCTACCCTGCAGGAATTTTGGTTTCCCTTCAACTGCTGTGTTAAGGGAAGGAATCTAGCAGAGACAGTCTTTGCAGGACAGACATAGCAGCTTATCAGTTACAAAGCCATAGCAAATGGCTCTTTATCCAAGGACTGAGCTGAAGCCAATTGGAAAAGCTTCCCAACAAATTCCCACACTTGGGATTGGGCCCATACTGACCACAGCCTTCAAAAGCACCAAGAACAACAGTATCTGGGTAGTGGGTCTATATTCACAGTTATAAAACCAGGATCAGCTACGTCATAGGCTGAAGAAGATGCTGCAGGAGGGATCATTTTTTGCTTCAGAAGGATACTGCGTGTTAAGTATTGTTATATTGTCCACAACGTTAAAGCAGTGGCACTTAGTGTTAGCATTTACAAGTGGGTCCTTCAAACGAGTCCACATCCTTGAGTAATGCCAGTATTTTGTGTTGGCCTGCAGCACAGAGACATTCAGCTCTGGGGACACAGAACACATCACAACACAGGAAGAAGAACTTGCCAGAACTGAAAGTGGACCAAAGAAAGGCAGATTCTTTAAAGGTTTTAAACACAGCATCTGTAGGAGACAAATGAAACCACAGAGCTGGAATAGTGCATTTCAAGATCACCAAAGCAGTTCACTGAACTGGATGTAGCCTGCCATCAGTATCTTTGCATTAGTTCATTTCTCTCAACATTTGGCACAAACCCTTTGACACAGTAATTTGGCTTCCATTTAGGTCAGCTGCTTGCGTTGTTTTCCTGGCACTTCAGTGGATTCAGAAACAGTTTCTTCGACACCGTGTACACTTATAAAGTCCTCAGTCAAGAATGAAGGCTAAACATTGCTGACCCTGGTTTCGGAAGAAGAGATCATAGCAGCAGATGCAGACGTCACTAGTGACCGTTCTCGTCTGACATATCGTGGCTTCCGAACTGAAATGGTGGGCACAGAAACATCATTAGCACCTGCTGTATAAGCATGCCTTTATCATTAATTCATAACACCACATGCCATCCAACAATTCCTGAGTGACAACGTCATTCTGGACCTTAAAAAAAAAAAACAAACACCACAAAAACAAAACACAAAAAACCCTACATAGAGTTGATATAGCAAAAGTCCACAAATAAACTTTTTAAACAGGCTTCTAATGGCCTCCTAAGTAAGGTGCTCATTACAAACTGGCATTTCCGTTATTTGTAAGTGTTTACAGTACATGTAGCTTTCCATTTTCAGCCCTAACAAAAACCCCCACAACTGTACTTCCTTTTTAAACGGGCATATAAACTAAGGTAAGGAAACTAAGACTTTTCACAAGCAGCACTGGCTGTCAGTTTAACAGCCAGACCCAGACCAAGTTTGGAACACATCTGTTTAAAAGTTAAAGACTGCATTAATAAAAATAAGATTTTAATTATACCATCTTGATTAAAAAGACCTGTGCATACACAGAAGCGAGACCAGAAATTTTGCTGAGCTTAGAAGGCCATTATTTCCTAAGTTCTTAGAAGATTTGGTCTGTCTCACTTTTCAGTCACCACAAGCTCTGTCATTGTCTTGAAAGTACGTGGATCAAGCATAGAGACAAGATATTTTACTGCATTACCCTGGCCAAATAAATCCACTTTCCTAGCCATTCTAAATTAATTTCCTGTGTAGATATAAAAGTTTCTATCAGTTGCAAAATATATCCTTTACTACCTACTTCTTTTTGAACTTTGTTACATGGTCAGAGACACTTAAAAGAATGCCTTGATTTGATTAGGTGTAATCCATTGCCCTTTTAAATATGTATTTGGGGAGAGTCATATTTACATATTTCATGCTTTAAGCTCTCACTGGCTCATTAATAATATAAGAAGAGCATGTACTATTTCCTAGAAGCAGCACAAATTTAGAGGCCCACCAAAGCAATTTTTTTCTCTTGGGTTACCCAGATCTAGCCTAAAACAGCAGATTAGAGTACAAGCCTTCTCAGTAGTATTTATAGGTTGAAATTATGAAAAATTGGGGAGGAAAATTGAGACAAGCTGATTAGATGAAATCTTCCCCAAGGAATAAATTTTTGCCCAAGTTTCACACATATTAAAAACCCACCTTGCCAAAAAGGCCCAACCTACAAACACCCCATACACTACATACACACAAAATGGTATATTCCAAGCAGTCTGTGTTATTTGTTTCAAGAAGCTGATAAGCTTCAAATCAGCAAGCCTGAAAATGAGCCAACCTGGCATTGGCAAGAAGATTCCAATCCTGAAAATATGTCCCAAACTGAATAATTTATTTTTGAGCACTTATGAAAAAATACTGCATCTAGTTGTAAGAATTCTCTGTTAGGATAGAGAAGTCGAAGATCTATTTTAGGAGCTGTCAAAGACCTATTTTAACATAAAGCACTCCATTAATTAATGTAGGCATATAGTACTGAAGCAATAAATCCTATCAAAAAGGTCTACTAGACAGATTTCATTGGATTTGTCCCCTCAACAGGTTCCACAGTTCTATACCAGGCTTTACAGGTAATTGTTTTGACTTGCTTTGTGTTCTTAGCATACCCACTTGGAGATAGTTTGCCTGCTTTTCAATAACGAGATGCATAAAAGGGAAGCCAACAGATAAAATATTTGTAGCAGCATGCCCCAGAGAACAGTTCCTCACCTGAAGAAGCTGGGGGAGGTATCATGGATGCCTGCATAACAGAAGAATGACCATGTCAAACAAAGCACCTTTTGTCTTCACAGTCTTTCATTAAAAAAATACAGGAACATTTTAGGGTTCCAATAATATTTACTGTGTACATAGTCTGTCTTGGAGAAAGCAACTCAAGTGAATCAAGTGAATACAGTCAGTATTAATCTTTCACTTTTTTTTCCAGCTTGGACAAAGAACCCCAAAACATCTTTTATTTTTTTATTTCAGTCTCTCATACATCAGATTAAGTAGCTCCCTAATGAACTGCTAAAACTTTAAGTTATTGTTTACTTGATGTTTTATGCTTGCTTGTTCCTGTTGGAAGGACAGAATTTACTTACTGTTTCACTAGGCTGGAGAACAGATGCTAAAAGAGAGAGAAAGAGAGAGACTAACCATCATTAATCTAGAAGGCTAGAACTGCTAGTTTTCTAAAAATACATGCGTGCAACAGAATAGTTCTATTGTTAAAAAAATAGTTTTGTCAAAGACTACCAAAACAGATCAGAACATTCAGAAATCCTATTAGTAGAATACATTGTAGGATTGTCTTCAAGATTACAGATAAAGGTTGCAAAGGTCTCCAAGAATGACTTATTTTGCTTTCAAAGAAGATAGCCACAGCAGTATCTCTTCAATATGAAGAAGCTTCAGTAGGAAAAATGGCACTTTGAGCCAACTACCAGAAAAAAAGTAGTACAAATAGGAAACAATTGAGCAGTGAAAGATGCAACCCTTTTATACAAGAGGTTGCTGCCTTGATTGGCCACATGATAATCATCATCTGGACAGAATGAAAGCTAACATGATAATAAGCCAGAGAAATGTTTCTAATGCTTCTCCTTCAAAGGAGGACATCAATGCTTTAGCCTGCCGGACCAGAGTGAACTATCAGTACAAAATGTGGAAGTCATACCAATATCACTGAAGCCTCAACAGATGTTTGGTGTCCTGCCAGCTTAGAAATGTCATAGCACAAGAGCTCTTAACCCACTTAAAAACTGAAGGAGAATCTTGTACTAACTAAATTTACTTGAAAACACATGCAAAAGCAACCTAGAGGTTTCAGTATGGCAGTTGTGATTCGGACACTAGCAGTTCCTGTGGCACTGATCAGTTTAGACCTTAGGTAGCTACTGTTGTGTACTTTTACATGAAATGATACCACAGAGACTGGAGTTGTGATGTTCCGTGAAGTTACTATGACTAGATACAACAATCCTAGCCAAACAATACAATTGTATCTTTCCACCCACCCCCTTCTTTTTCTCTTTCTAAGCTTATTTCTATTGTGACACTCTAGCTTGAGTTTGGTCCTGTAAGACATGAATGAAAATTACAGGAGGTCTATTCGTTTAGCAGACCTAACCAGTAAACAGCTTGCTTTCAACAGAAGGAGCTCTAACACAGCAAATGCTGCACTAGAGGTTGTCATGAGACAGAATCATTCAAAGTGACTGCACAGAAGGGGTGAGACAGAGTCATATAGATCAGCTCCAGTTTCATGCAAAACACTGGGCAAAATGGAGACATCGCCTTCCACATGTTTTGCTCACCACCTCCCAGAAATTAAAAGAGCAGTAAAATGTGGACACATAGAACAACTTCACAGAAACTGACGCATCTGAAAGAGCCAGATGTCTACAAAAAGTCCTGGTGCCCTATGGCTAAGCACATCCCAGGTGTTCTTTCCCGAGCTTTTCTGCAATCACTTTGGCATGAAGTCAGGTCATTGCATTTTAGTTACATGGCTTCAATTCTCAGTAACAGAAATGTCAGAAATAAAGAATAAATTATTTAAAAAAAAAGCTAAGGGGTGTTTGCTTTAAAAAAAAAAATCAGGCAGTTAGCTCTTCCAAGCCCCAGTAAATCCTGCATTTAAAGGGCAAACACAGTTGAATGAATAGTGCAATAATGAGGAACCTCAAATTCCATTCCCTTTCTCCTGCTGCTGACACACCCATGGTAAATACACTGCCCTTTAGTATTACAGGTCCCTTCTCTCTAAATCAAGAATAAACAACTGCTTTTTGTAAGGCTTTATAAATGTCTGGCATTTTGTGTACTGAAATAAACAAGTATTACTAAGTTCTATAATAATGCCCTCTGTGCAAAAAGCACTGACTGATTTTTTTTTTTTTTCCCTTTTTGAAATCAGATATCTACTATTCAGTGACAACTAACGTCAAGTATTGTACTCTGGCAAATCTTTGAAAGCTACAAAAAACAATAGCTGGGTTAGTGAGAGATACTGTGTAATATGCACCTAAGCACACTTAGACTGAGAACAGACATCCTCCGCGCTGCCATGAAAACATGATATTGTAAACACATATCAGGAGACAATTTTTCATGAGTTTGCATTGCTTTGGATGATCAAAAGAGACAGCAGTAGCTACATGAAGTTAGAACACTGACATGAAGAAACTTAAAAGGTTTTTAAATTAAGAAACTGAGCAAAGGCCGAAACATTAGAGATTAAATAGACAATTAGAGGTATTTTACCTTTGTTTCTTCTGTAGAAGACATTAGGAAGTTTATTGGCACGTTTGAGGTAGAAGAAAGAAGCAACAGACAGAATCAGGAATAAACTGATGAAAAATGTCCCTAAGATGAGAGAGGCTGCCACTTCTGGGCCCCCTGTATAAAAAAACAAAACAAGAAAAAAAAAAGAAAAAAAAAGAGCGAGAGAAAAGACTATTATTCACTAGAAATCTCTTCTAATAGAAGGGTTAAACAAAAGATAAAGACCAACTTCCTGATATTCACAGGGGAGAAAAAAAAAAAACAGTGTGGGGTTTTTTTTAATATATAGACAGACCTCACTGAAAAATTTGCAAAGATCTTTCAATACTCATTTTGTTACATGACCAACTTCCCCAACCCCACTTGCCAAATGTCAGGAGAGCCTTAGTCTCTACTTTCCTGAGGGTAGCCACAGATTTTTAATCCATCGTTCTGTTTCTTTTATATAACTTTCACAACCAGTGCTGGGAGGCACTCAACATTAATATTGTTCTTTTATTCCTTAAATGAAGTCTCCTAAAGACAGAACTTGTCAACAGACAATATACCACTGGTACAGTACACCCAGTATTACGTTTTCCACAAGTGACCGATACAGAAACCATCCCAAGGAGGCAGACACTAGCAAAAGGCACCCTGCTCACCTCTCTTCCGCTTTCCCTGCCTCGAGAAATGCCCTGCATATTTATTCTGCTGTTTCATTTAAGATGATGCTCCCAAAAAGCAAGTATTTTAAGAAACAAAAGTTGTTTATGACCTTGTTGCAGACAAACTAGAACAACAGATCTATCTGACAAGCTCTGCTTGAGAAGTCCACATTCTGAACAGCACTGGATACTTCAAGTATACACACATGATAGGACAAATGTTAGAAAGGGATCAGCAGCACCCACGTGTGACATGGCTGTTTAGCTTTCCTTTTAAGAGCACTGATGATAAGCACTCACCCTGTAACACTAAATCGCTTCATTTGGCATCCCATCTCTTGCTCAAGTGTGCAATACTGCTATCTAAATAGTCTCAGTTTGTATTATTCTTACCAGTGTTGAACAAGTATTTTTAGAAGATTAAACAGAAATGACTGCTCAGCAGTGATAAAATCTACCTATAGAAAGGCTAACCAAGATGTAACAGATGTGTCGCCTCACCCCTGAAAACCGAAACTCTTGCAGCATAAGGTTCAAAACTCAAGTTACGGGGTTTCATAAATAACCAGCTCAACCTGTACCAGAAAATCACTTCAAGATCACTAGGACAAGATGAAAGAACCATTCAGTAAAATGCAGTTACCTCAAAATTCAACTCTAAGAATTCTAAAAGATTCTTGTTGAGAACAAGCCAGAAAAAGTAAAAATGGCTACTACATTTAGAATAAAACCTATGCTGCAGAAAAACATATTTTACAACTTGTTGTTTCAAGTGCCACGTCATGAAGGGGCTGGTACACAGTGAATAATCACAAAGACTGCGCTCAATAGCTGTTTCCATTTACTCACCTATGTTCTGTATGAAAGGAGTTATGGTGCTTATATTCATTTGGAAATTCATTCCTCTGATACCAGCTGTAATCAAAAAGAATTTTTTAAAGTAAACTCTGACAAAACCTACAGATTTGTTGAAAATCTTACTAAAAGGCTATTATACTTCTCAGTAATTATTTGAAATTGTATAAGAATCCTGATTTCTCCCATAAAAAAAAAAACATTCTTTATATCACTTTGGAGAATTTTTAAAAAAAGGAAGCAAACAAGCATCATCATAATTTGTCCAAAAAGAAAATAATTCACTAGTGCCTTTCCCAGAAACTTAGGTCAAGTTTCTTATCTCTCATGAAAAATATTTACAAGGAATTGAATGGTTCTCACCTCTCAAACAAAGCACACATACAAAATGAATCTAGCCTTCTTAATATAGATTTTTCAAAGAACAAGTACAGTCTGAGCTATTTTGTGCTCTGAAGAAGTCCCTAGCAAACGCCCACAGCAAATGCCTTTTTCTTACAGCAGAAAGTAAAGCAG